CAGGGAGGATTCACCCCTAAGGCATGCCACAGAGTGAACCTGGAAAAATCACAACTGCATACAAAATGCACAGACTACCAGTGAGAAATTCATGCTATTCCACCCCCCCATAACTCCTTAGAAGCCTTAAATAGCACCCTGGGACACAGAAAATAAACAGGAGAATTTTCTCCCCTTGGATAAAACACTTTAGAAATCTTGCCACTTATCTTCTGCCTGTCATCACTTTTTTAAAAAGCAGGAGCGGGTAAGGCTGCGAACTGACCAAAAAAAGTAGTGCTTTTCAGCAACAATTTACTCTGTGATCATCAGCAAGGACTGCTTTGCAATCATGGAAATACAAACTCTTATCCCTTACTGGTCGCCTGGAGCTTATGCCTGCTGCCAGAACTCTGGCCCGGAAGAAACCAGCCAGCAACCCAAAGAGCCAGGCAGCCGAGGAATAAAGCAAGCTGTCCTCTTATCGCTGGTTGGTCTCCTGCTTGCTCACATCTCACAAGTGGCTCTGGCACCCTCGCCTCCCCACTGGATGCCTTCAGCCCGCTCAGCCACCCACCCGACCCCCCCTCACTGTAGTCTTTGCCAGCACTTGGCCTCCCCAGCGCATTCTCCCCAGTGTAGAGAATGGCTTCCTAAAGCAAAGATTGCTCAACCTCGGGGCGAGGCTACACATGTGGCAGCAAGCAAGCTGTTCTGTGCTACACAACGGCACGTACACATACACATATACATTCTCTCTCTCTCTCTCTCCCTCTCAGACTTTGTGCAATTATTTCCTTCCACTGCTAAAGAACATACTGATCTCCCCCAACAGCCTCCAAAAGAACTCTTGGACATGATGAGGGCTGGGTATTTTGCACGGCTGTTGAAATGACTCAAGATACCCATAATGTAATTGAGTTTGGCCTGGCAAAGCAACCAAGGTCTCCAACGCTTAGCACACCAAGTGGCGGCCAGGGGTGGGGGTGGCTGGGAACAGGTGGGGTGGCGGGGACCAAGAATTCTTCCATCCTGTTCTTAGGTCAGGGAAGAAAAGGGTGACCAATCATGAAGAGAGTTCCAGGTCGTTCCAGGTCTAGAACCCTGGGTTCTCTCTCAGGGCCTTATGGGGACAGGACACATGAAGGAGCAAGGGAATGTGGGTAAGTCCAATGCTCTGATAGTGAATGACCTCTCCAAGCCCTGCGTCCAACCTTTAGCATAAAAGAGAGGGGCCCGGTGCTTGCTATGAATGGAAAACACACACAAACACACACACACAGAGAGAGAGAGAGACAGAGACAGAGAGAGACAGAGAGAGAGACTATTTGCTGTATGTTTCGTTTTCACCCATGGGATCAGAGGCTTCACTCAGAAGCCCTGATGCTCCTTGTCCCTCCTACCAAGCCCACAATCCATTCCAGCACACATGACCCAGAATACATGACCAAGACATCGCTTAATCTGAATTCCCTTCCCCCTGACCTACTTTTTTTTTTTATTTACAGTATTTTTTAGCCGCACCATTACCAGTGGCTTCTGGCCGGTGTACAACATTAAAACTTAAAAACATTAAAAACATTTTAAAAGACAATATAAAATGTCATACAGTATATTAAAACAATTTTAAAACATTAAAAATTAATAAGTCCTGCTGCTCATGTGGCCAGCTAGGGAATACTGTTTAATTAAAATGCTGGCTGAACAGAAAGATCTTTGCCTGTCGCCGAAAAGCCAAGAGTGTCGGAGCCAGGCGGATCTCTACAGGGAGGGCATTCCAAAGTTGGGGGGCAACAGCTGAGAAGGCCCTACTTCGACATGCCATCCCCCTCATCTCTTTCAGGGATGGCACCTTCAGAAGGGCCTCCTGGCCTGATCTTAGAGGACGGGCAGGCTTATATGGAAGAAGGCGGTCCTTTAGGTAACCAGGTCCTAAGCCGTTTAGGGCTTTATATGTCAAAGTAAGCATTTTGAATTGGGCCCGAGCAGCAACCAGCAGCCAGTGTAAATTTTTCAGAACCGGCCTGATATGAGTCCGTGCGGCGGCACCACTTACCAGCCGCGCAGCCCGGTTCTGTGCCAGTTGCAGTCGTCGGACCGTCTTCAAAGGCTGCCCCACGTATAGCGCATTGCAGTAGTCCAGTCTGGTTGTTACCAGTGCGTGTGTGACTGTTGCCAGGCTCCGCTTATCCAGGTAAGGGTGAAGTTGATATATTCTCCGCAGCTGTAAGAAGGCATCCCTTTACACCGAGTCCACCTGGGCTTCCAAGGTCAGACCGGGGTCAAGGAGCACCCCCAGGCTGCAGGCCCTGTCCTTTAGGGGGAGTGTAATCCCGTCTAAGGTAGGGAAATGGCCCTTTAACCTATCTGGCGGGGCACCTACCAGCAGCACTTCAGACTTGTCTGCATTGAGCCTCAGTTTATTTAAGTGATAATACTATGGTGCATGTTCAGAGTTCAAATCCTGTTCCCCTGTGACATTCATTGTGTGACATCAGGTCAGCCACCCATTCTCAGCTCACCTGGCAAGGTGAGTCCTGAGGATAAAATCAGGATGGGATGGAGGGAGACTCACTACATCAACTGCTCTTAGCATCTTGGAGGAAAAACAGCATATAAATGGGACAACATAATTGCAGCACGGCCAAAAGGTCGAATCTCATGTCCTAGCAGGATACATTTCATAATTCACTTCAGTGATTGTTGCTACAGGTCTACAAAATGGTAGCTATTCCACTTTAATCAGCATGGGATACATGGGAAAGATATACTTTCCTCACCATGTATATTTATCCGATTTTTTTGTACAGAGCATGGATATGTATGTGCAGAATGTAATTTATATTTGTGATCGATATTTGTAGTAATTTAAAGTTCTGTGTGGGTAGAGGCTTTAATTTACATATTCTTTACAGTGATTTCCCAAATTCTAAAATCAAATGGCCCTGTTATCTCACAAAAGTGGTCTGAGATATACTTTGCATTGAAATCTAAGGATTACATCAACCAGTGTTCCAAACACAGTTTGCCAGCTTCGGAGTTACACTGAACTCTTCCTTTTATTGTATTATTAAGACATTTCAGATGGAATGTCTCAAGAGTGCCAATAAACAGAAACACCTTCACACACCCCACCCTTCTCTGAAAGGGGAAACAAACTTCCGTTAGCTACAACATACTTCTGTGTAATTCAAACAGTTGCAAGCGCTGATTGAACTGCAATAAGAGATGGAATGAGGCCAGATTTTCATTTGTGCTTTAGTGCTGGTGGGTAATATTAGTACTCTCAATTACAGTAAATGCATGCAAATGATATCAAACAAATGCAGATTACAGAAATACTTTAAACAGCATGTATATTTATTTTGGCACAGCATCTGGGTTACCTGGGCAAGACAGTTTAATTTTAGTACGGACTCTGTGACAATTTTAGTCCTACATGGCTTCTACTTTCTTTCATTTTTAATTGGAATCACTGAAGGAGCCCATCCCTCTGTTTCAAAGGTAGAAAGCAAAACAGTATATTCGGGATTTCCTAATAATTTTTTTAAAAAAGGAATTATGTGCTGAGCAATCTTCCTGAGCCTGTACTCTCAATTAAGGTCATAAAGAGGTCATTTCAGGAACAGAGCAAGTCCCAGCAAGTCCCAAGCGCCCTTTGTGCGAATCCCACCAACCCACAAGCCCAACAGGTAGAACTGCTCTATCTTCTGCCCAACCCCCTGAAAAATAAAGGATGTGAGGGGGTGTTTCCATGAGTGCAAAGGCACCTTTGTGTGGAGGTGGTTGGGGGCGGATATTGACTGCTGGGTCAAGGGGTCAAGTAGATTACACACTTCCTGGTAGAGATTCCTGTGGTCAGCTGGTCACCTTCCTTTGCAGGAAGATGGCCTTTGCAGCGAGGCTCCCTGTCCTGAGAGAAGCCTGCCTTGTTCAGCTTCCTGCCTCCCTCGTCATGGGGGCCCTCAGGCTGTGCTTCCTTGTTATTAAGGAAGAACTCTGCACATGCTCGGGAACACACTCTCAAAGCTAAGAGTCAAAAATAGGTTTAGGGCTCAACGCAAATTAAAAACTTGTGCCTCATGATATTCAGGTCCTCTGGTCAACATGGCAGATTTAAAAAAAAACGCCAACATCTCATTTTCCTCATCCCGTCGCTCTTCATCTATGTTGCCCCCTGAATTACCGAACCCCGCCCCTCTACTGTATTAAAAATAAAATCTGAAAGCGTGCTCTCTCTCGGTCTCCCTCTCTCCCATCCTTTCCTTCCTAAACCTCCTGGGCATGGCTGCTTCACACGAGCACACCAAACACGCAAGCCTCACCGAAAGGAAGAGAGGAAGGGAAGGGAAGGGAGAAGTAGGTCAGGCGAGCAGGGAGAGGAAGGGCTGGCATGTTTGTGTTGTCATGTGTACGTCCGCGCAGGGGGTGTGTGCAAGAGCCAGCCGGGAGAAAGCTCCTGCGCAAGCGGCCACCCCGCCCCTCCTGCTCCACGCTCCGTGGCCGAGCGGGCTCCTCGTGGGGTCGCGAGCGCCGGAGAACTTCCCCGGGGTGGCTGGCGCGTGCCTGTCGGGGCGCCGAGGAGGAGGAGGAGGCCGGAGCGCCGCCGGGTCGCCAGCGGGACCCACGCAAAGGACAACCCCGGCCCGCGAAGAGCGCTTTCCCACAAACAAAGCGCACCCGGGCGCACAGTAGCTAACGCGCGCACACACCACACACATACACATACGCGTCTCACTCTCACACACACACACACACACACACACACAGAGCGATCCAGACAAGGCAACACCACCATCGATCCGGGAAGGGGACTTTCCCGCGGGCGAGGGAAGCACCTCAGCCTCTCGCTCCGCACGGTCCCCCCTCGCAGGCAGGCAGGGAGGGTCGCGACCGCGGCGCGCTTCCCCCAGAGCCGCTCCTTGCCTTCTCCTTGTTTGCTGGCGCTGCCCGGTTCCTTTTCCAAGACGAAGCCTCGCCCGACGGGGCAGTGCGGGGAACCGGCCGTGGATTGCTCTCACCCGGTGACGGCGGCGGCTCCTACTACCGCCGCGCGCCCTCGTCTTCTCCGCCTCCTTCCAGCCCCGCTATCCCGCCGCCGCCGCTGCTGCTGCTGCTGCCGCCGCCGCCCTACTTCCTTAGCCCGGGAATGTGTGTTAGTAGGTCAGGCGATTGCATAAGCGCTTCTGGCAGCGCCTCCGTCACGCTCGCGGAGTCGCCGCACAAAACAGAGCGAGGGGAGGGGAGGGGAGAGGGAGGGGGAGGAGGGAAGGGAGAGAGGGAGAGAGAGCGGAGGGAGAGGCGGGCTGGGGGCGGGCCAGACCGGCGAGAGCCCGGCGGGAGGTGCGGCCCTGCCGCCGGGAAACTACCGGAGCCGGAGAGCTCCTTTCCCTCAAAGCCACCCTGGCTTCTTCCCCGCGGCCGGCCCGCCCTGGGCCCGAGCCAGTAGTATGGGGAAGTGGGCAGACGCCCAAGTCCAAAGTCTGCCCATGGAAAAGGAGTGTGTTTGTTGCGTTGCCCCTCCTTGGACGTGACTAAACGAAACGGGATAAAACAAAGGTCCTTGCCCCGAGGAGCTTCCAAGTTAAACATCGATTTTTCCTCCGACGGCGACGACTTCATTTTCAAAAGCCTAACCTGGGAGGTGTAGGGAAAGCTTCGTCGATTTTGGGGGAGGGGGGAGGGGAGAGCCGCACGCTCTCTGCACGTGGGCTGGGGCACTCTCGGAACTTGGTTTCTCCCGAAGCGAAGCATGGGCAAAGTCTGTTTGTAGGGATGGTTTTGAACTGTGGAAGTTAGGTCAAGCAGGCCCGGGTTAGGATTGCCGCCCCCAGACTCAGACCCCCCCCCCCCCCCACCACACCACCTTCTTCACCCTTTGAGCCAGCTAAGGAAGGCTCCCAGTAAACATTCCTCAGTGATGTCTTGGTTTTTCAAAAATGTAAAGTGGGTGGAGGGCAGACTTTTGGATTTGCCCTACCTTGCAAGTCCCTCATTCCCCCCTCAGCAGCCATTTTTCTGGCAAGCAATGAGGACACAGAATCCAGCCATGGCACAATATGTCTCATGTAACACTGTGGGATGTGGTACATAAGGATGCGTGGGCCAGGGCCACAATGACTGATCCAGTGGAAGCCTTCCTAAAAGGGAATCCTGAAAAGACTGGGGGCCGGGTGGGGGGGAGCATTTATCTGCATCCTGCAAGTTTTGCATAGCTATCCATAATGCATTTGGTTGGTCTCTACATGCCCTTTCGGAGACCAGTAAGTGCAAAGTGCGGAAGCATAGGGGGTAGATATCAGCTCATTATAAATAACTAATATAGCTCAGTGGTTTAGGTACAGTATCTGGCTGAGGAACCAGAGGTTGGGAGTTGAATTTCTTACTGAGCCTTGTAGGAGAAGAGCCAGCCAGTGTGGCCTTGGGCAAGCTGCACAGTCCCAAGGCACCCCTCAGAAGAAAGGAATGGCAAACCACTTCAGAGTATTCTCTTCTTAGAAAACCCTGGAAAAAGGTTGCCGTAAGTCAGAATTGACTTGACAGCATAACCATTATCATCATTAATATTTATTAACAAAGAGAGAAATCTCAGCTATTTTATTTATTTATTTATTTATTTGATTTTTACCCCGCCCCTCTAGACCATGTCTACTAGAAGATGCATTACCTCCAGGTGTCTGTGCCAGCTCTAGAGGGGCTAAGCTGTAGTTTAAGAAGCACCTTTCTATGCTGGAAAATGTACCTTTAAAATATATTTATTGTATTATTTAGTTATTACATTATCCTGCCTTTTCTCTAATAAGTGCAAGATAAAGTACTTCCTATTTTGTCCTCACAGCAACAACCACCCTGTAAGGTAGGTCAGTTTGAAAAATAATGGCTAACGCCCTGTCACATCCTTTGACCTAAGGGTTAGAACAGTTGAGGGTTAAAGTATGGACGTTGATGGACTGCTACTCCCATAATCCCTCACTATTTGCTGCTGATAGGCATGGCGGTCAACATCCCCTGGAAGGGCACACATTCTGCAACCTTGGATGGATCCTGCCTCTTTCCAGTTCTAACCAATAGCTCACTCCTCTTCCATCTTTAGGAACGATAAGTACTACTTTTACCACGGAATCTATCCCTATAATTGGTTAAGCAGGTGTACCTTATATGTTGTTGTTTAGTCATACCTTATATAGGTTATAGAAAATATACATGGAAAGTGAATCACTTTGAAAACGGAATGAAATGCACTGCATGGAAGCTATTTCACATGCTGTTGCAGTTCTAACCAATAGCTCACTCCTCTTCCATCTTTAGGAACGATAAGTATCTACTACTTTTACCACGGAATCCCTATAATTGGTTAAGCAGGTGTACCTTATATGTTGTTGTTTAGTCATACCTTATATAGGTTATAGAAAATATACATGGAAAGTGAATCACTTTGAAAACGGAATGAAATGCACTGCATGGAAGCTATTTCACATGCTGTTGTCGTCAGGGGGAAGGGAAAAAATGATGAGCCCAGGAGGAAAAAGCGATGGCTTTGCAACTTGTCCCTTTGATCCCTTCCTCTTTCCCCACCTGAAGGGGGGGGAAAAGCAGTGGCAGGACCTGGTTCTCCAGTTCTTCCCCACTTTTTGTGACAACACGTTTAAACCAAGGCTCACTGTTCTTTGGAAGAAGTGCCTCCTCCTGTTCAGCAAGATCACCATTTCAGTTTGATTGTAGGGCCAAGAAAGATTCTTCATCTATTTCCAAGGTCTGATTTGGCATTTATTTAAGATTACATTGCAATCCAACAAGACCAAAATTTTAAGAGAGCATTTGTCATGATTGCTTTCCTAACTTTCAGTCTTTCTGCTTAAAAGCCTGTTTGCTTGCTTGCATGCTTGCTTGTGGTTGTTTTGTTTTGTTTCATGATTTTCAGTCAACCATAAATTATCCTCCCAAGGTTATTTGTAATAGTTAAAGGTCTGATTTGGCATTTATTTAAGATTACATTGCAATCCAACAAGACCAGAATTTTAAGAGAGCATTTGTCATGAATTACTTTCCTAACTTTCAGTCTTTCTGCTTAAAAGCCTGTTTGCTTGCTTGCTTGCTTGCTTGTGGTTGTTTTGTTTTGTTTTGTTTCATGATTTTCACTACAACACAAATTATCCTCCCAAGGTTATTTGTAATACTGTAGTTATAAAAATAACAAAACAAGAACAAAACACACAGAAACATTAGCATTGAAATATTAGAACAATACAACAAGGTCACGTAGAACAAAAATACGATAACATTACAAAAGCAGATAGATCAATAAACCAGATACTGTACGTAGATTAAAAGAACAACAAAATACAGAAGCTAAAACAACATCACGAATTGGACTAAAGACAATGGGAATTTAAAAGCCATGGAACATGGCTGAAGGTTGATAGTGGGAGGGATGTATTTTCTTGAGGCAGATCTTCTAAAGAGGCCAACACAGAAAACTTCCTGGTCTCAGTATAAAAGCTCTTATCATATGCAGCATGGCTATAGCAAAAGGAAAGGGGTGGATTCTTCCGGTTGTTGTGTGGCCCTGGATCACTGAATGGCTGACACGGGGGAAAACTGAAGAGTGATGAGAGAAAACATTGCAATTCTGGCAAAACCTTTCCACCACAGTTGACACTGCCGGCTCTCCTGTGAAGATAGCTCTAGGGCCAGGAGAGATGGGCAATGCTTCCAGCTCCTTTGTATCCCAAAATCCAGAAGCCTAATTTTGTAGGATGGAACATGGTAGTGATCTCAGGGAGGAAAAATATTCCTTACCTTCTTCACAGCCCTGATAATAGCGTAGGAAGAAAGCCCCCATTTTCAGGACCCTATGTGCCCTTCCCTCCAAAAAAAAAGAAAAGAAAAAAGAAAGAAAGAAAGAAAAAAGTAGGCTTAGCTTTGCCTTTCACCCTAACATGAGGTGTTGACCGCATTGGTCAAAATCATGTTGCTTAACAAGAGCCAGATCGGAATTTTTGGCCCCTTCCTCCCTGCTAAATGTGTGCCTGCCTTAAACCAGCATCATCCATGCCCACAAGAGTGGCAGCAGGGATAGTTTGTTTCCTGTTGAAGAAAGGGATGGAAATTACACTTCGATTTACCCTAAGCAAAAGAATTTCAGCGAGTGAGGGATAACATTGTCATAACTTGAAGGAAGGGGTTGAGGGAGGCTTTCACTCTCTTTCCCCCACCTGCCAAATGGTAATTGAGCCACAGGAGAGAGCTGACCAGAGATCTAGATAACCTTTGATGGAAAGGGGGTTGTGGTCCGAAATACTATGACGCCTGGGGTGATCAGGTGGTCCAGGTAGATGATCTTAGGAAGCAATGCTTCATCAAGTACTGACATCCCAAACTGTTTAGGGCCTTATAAGTTAATATTAGCACTTTGCATTGGGCACAGAAGGAGACAGGAAGCCCATGTGGGCATGTCAGAATTGGGGAAATCTGGTCATATTATGGAGAAGCTCCCAAAAATCAACCTGGCACCCACATTTTGCACCTGCTGCAGCTTCTGTATGGCCTTCAAAGGCAGCCCCACGTACAGAGCATTCCAGTAATGGATCCTCGAGATTATCTGTGCTTGAACAAGTGTGATCAGGGAGGGATTTCCTGCCAAGGTCAGTCTCAACTGTTCAATTCACCCAAGATGGGAAAAGGTATCTCTTGCCCAAAGCCGGCCAAGTTATTTTGGCATGTGAACTGGGAAGCCTTACTAGCACCTCTCCCCATCCCTAACCATTAAAAGAATAACAAAATAAAATTATTTAACCCATCCAAAAATTATACTCCAGATTTTCTAGAAAGTGCCCCTTTCATCCTAGCTAATGGCAGGACGAGCCCTGGGAATGCCCAAGTGGTTTATTTTGCTACAGTCCTGGGATTAGGGCTAGTAGAAAATATGTATTTACTATTCGTTTGTTCTGTGACATTCCAACTTCCCTCCAATGAGTTCAAGACATTGATCCTTATTCTGCCCCCTACTATATTCTAACCACAATCCTATGAGGTAGGCCAGGCCAACAGAGTGTGACTGTCCTAGGATCACTTAGCGAGTTTCATGACTCAGTGGGGCTTCGAAACCTGGTCTTCTAAATTCCAGTCCAAACCTCTAGGCCATTACATCAGTCAGGATCTTTAGTCAATGGGAAATGTATCTTGCAGTTGTCAGCCTTAGTCCCTTGGATGAGTGTTATGGACAGAAGACAACGACCAGGATCAAAGG